TCTCAGTCTTTTCAGAAGAAGAAAAGACCCAGAAGCATCTCTCCAACTGCCTCTCCTCCCACTCCGTCATCTCTCCGTCCCCCCCCTGCCCGTAGATCTTAAATAACTGTCAACTTTGGCTGTGTGAGTTCTTTGACGTACATATCCCAGAAGGGCCGTCTGACTCTATTCTTGAGTGGTTATGCTATTCAACATTTTGGTGTAACTGGTTAAACACACTTGAATCAAATGGCTGAGGTGCCACCTCATTCATTCTGCATTCAGATCATATGAAGTCCTGGTAACATCAAAATTAATTGAGTGAGATGTTTTGTGCCAGAGAAACACCTAGAACTTGAAAGACACCTAACCTATTCTTGATGCCTGGTATTTGGACACCTATGTCCTATTTTATGTTTTCTTTTTTTATCTTTCATTTTAAATCACAGTTAAGATCTCGGCTGACAGCTTCCTGAAATGATTTTTGAGCGGGAAGCCATAATATATGAGTTGGATAAAATGTTAAGGAAGGATCCCTTCAAGTGTCAAGCTTGTACCCCAGATGTGCTTTCAGTTTCAGTGGATGGAAATTTTAAGTATTACATTTAAAGAATGCAGCAAGGTATTCTAAAATGTGTACAATGTAACAATTCTTTGTATATGTTAGTGATGTTCACTACCTTTGGACAATAACACCTCATGAAGTGTATTTTATTGCTTTGTTTTCAGATTGGAGGAACAGGCTATATTTCAGGACCTTTTCATGCCAAGGATGAAAACGTAGGAACATTTGTGGACTGTATACACAAATCAACCAAAAATGTAAGACTGCAGATTGTAGATGTATATCAACAGTAACCTTTTCGCCTGTAATAATAGCATACCTGACTGAACTGTATGCATTCTAGATTTTGTGGTGGGCAATGGTCTGCAGCCAGGGAGATCTCTCACAGATCCAGCAGCAAACTGGGTGAGGAGGCTTGGAGCTAGTGGTGTGTAGACATGGAGTGCTGCTTAGTGCTCTTCGAGATAGTATGAGATATTTGCATAAGCTTTGTTCTTTCAACAAAGGCTGGCCAACAGACAATCACTTTTTTTCCATGGATGTAACATTTGTCCTTTTCATAAATACATTTCAGACTCTGTCAGTCTTCACACAAGAACAAGGACAATTGATGACATCATGATAGTAAAGAGACTGGAAGAGTAAAAAAGGGTCCTTGTTGATGGACCATCATTGGAAATTTCTGCCATCCTATGAAGACACTCTAAAGGAGTTTCCTGCCTGTTATCGGGAGGTAAATTTAAAAGTATGTTTTTAAGTTATGTATAATCATACCAAAAGTTAAAACATCTAAATTTTGTATTTTTATTTTTATTTATGTTCAACTTTAAAGGTTTGTCCTGTGCCCTAACTGACGAAGGTCCAAGAGGTCTCCAGAGCATCATCCTCAGAGAGCTGCAGCACCAACAGATGAAGCTGCAGCTGCTGTATTATCTACAGCAGGGGAGCCCAAAGTGGGTCCTAGTGGCCCGGCATCCTGCATGTTTTAGTTCTCTCCCTGGTTTAACACACCTGCATCAAATGATGACTCTTTAGAGGCCTAAGAAGAACATTGACAAGCTGAAAAGGTTGTTACTACCACCAGGGAGAGAATAAAACATGCAGGATGCCGGGCCACTAGGACCGACTTTGGACACCCTGATCTACAGACTTTGTCAGGAGCAGAGAGCGTTACCTTTGACGACGACTTCAGTAGTGACTGATAATAGTCATATATAGTTTGCTCATAAGTCAATTTGTTCTTGTGCTTTCATGTTTCCAAATGGGCAGTGTTTTATCTTGATTCTTTTTTTAAAAATAGTTAATTTGTTTGTGCCTTTGTATTTTCTAGAAGGGCTTATTAGAGCTGTAATTACTTCCACAGTGTGTTTCTTTTTCACTTATGTTTCTGCACATCTAGTGTATTTTCTAGGTAATAATAAGAGAAATTGTAGTTACTACATTAAGCAGTCCCAGTGATTCTGTAGTAACTAACATAGTCAAGACATCTTTTTGCATCTTCTACTTTTATTTTCTTTTTTTATTAATATGTGCAGCTCTGACTTATTTCTTAATCCAAAGAATACACAAAGTGTGTACTGGTGGAACAATTTCTTATCCTTGGTCAATTGAATGCGGTTCAGTTTGTCTGTCAATGTCTTTATTAAAAAGAAATAAGTTAAATAAAATTTCAGTACTTGTCAAAGTGATCTTTTAATGCGGTATTCAGGTATGATTTTGTTTAATGACATGCATTTATACAAAAATCACAAAGGTATGATTTTATAAACAAAACAGCATCTAATTTAGTGGACTCTTCAGGACATGTTCTGTATCCATCAGCTGATGACAAGTCAGTAACGAAGGATATTAAAATGTTGGACGAACAAGAAGTGGTTTCAAAAAATTGTCAGGAGAAATAATTTGTTCAGCTTTTAGGTACTCGTCAAGGACATATGAAAATTAGTTATAATTGCATACATAGACCTAGCGTTATTCATGCATGTCTAGGTTCAACAGTTGACAGGTGAAAAAGGAAGCCGACTAAGGTTTGGTAGAACTTGCTGTCGGTGTCATTTAGTTGAAATGCTTCAGATTTGGACCTAACTTCTTTTTTAAAACAGAGCGTCCCAACTTAGTGAAATAATCTTAACATTAACTTGGTATTTGGATGCATTTACAAACCAAAAGGGGTAGACCTCTATTTCAACTACAGTAATTAGATGGACACAACTTAACTTACATTCTCTTTATGCCTTTTCTATGCATGCTTATGAAATGATGAAATAAACCGCAGAGGCCTGAGACATCATCAGGCAAATCATTCTTTTCCCACCAGAGCAGGTTTAGAGTTGGGCTACAGAGCTCAATTCTAGAGAAAATGCATCTTTGAACCATTACTTTCATAAAGCATTTGAAGATTAAGCCATCTCTACCACTCAATTTGAGATTAGTGATGGAGTTAGGGTTAACCCTAACCCCAATCTAACCCTAGATTGTTTTATACAGTTTAACATAGTGCTTTTCTCTTAGAGAAACACTATGTCAATCAAACATAATATAGATTACTATGCTAACGTAGTTTAAATTACAGTAGACTCAAACTGATTCAATATTAATTTACTAAATTGTAATGTTGAAGGACTTCAATCTGGGTTTCTTGGGCATACACAAAATAAGCTGCAAACTTTAACTTAAATAATTAACCTTAAACATGCTATGCAAAATACTTCTCCATAAAACTTTTTTTATGTGTAAATACTGATCACACTGAATAAAACACATAATAGCTTCACACAGTTCTACAAGTGTGCAGGAAACGAATCTGTTACACAGTTTAACCTTGCGTCATGCCTTACAGACAACACACAGGGCAAACTTGACCAGCCTACAATGACGACCAGCTTGTCAGGCAAAAAGTCTTTATAAATCCCATCATGACTCTTTCTGTATCAAACGAACAGTTTCACTACATTTTGAAGTAACATTTCTGAGTGTATCGTTGACCTTGATCTTATTTGGCTACAGACAAATACGGTTGTGATCTTATTGAAAACCTTATTACCCACAACGTGCTGATAGTGTTCCTTTCTTCTCTTAATCAGTCTGCCGTACGATGGCTGCGTTCCATTTCAGATTCCCGCCGATCAGCCGTACAATAATTTCTAGAACCAACTATGCGGAGCTGGGATGCTTATAAAAAGTCTGTCACAAATGCCATACACAATTTTAAACACACAAAATATACATTTGCATTTATATATCTATATAGATATATCTATATATAGATATACCTGTCCTGATATATATATATAAATGCAAATTTATATTTTGTGTGTTCTTCAAAATTGTGGATGGCATTTGTGACATAGGTTTATTAAAATGTATTGTTCTAATACAGTCAGTTGATCTGGACATTACAATGTATTTTTATCATGCTCTTCATCAATAACTTCACTTAAAGTTGCTGTGTTTAAAAATAAATGTACTGCATTTGAAAGCAATTTTATTATAACATTTTGCAAATACAGTCTTGATTGACAAAATCCATGACACAAAAAAGATCATATTAAAATAATAGCTTTTTGAGATAAAAAAAAACACTTCCAATTAGTTATATTAAAATCAAGTTGTACTTGTTTTGTTATGTATTCTTATAGACTTTACTTTGTTCATCCCCATCAACATTAAAAACACTCAAAACAAAAAACATGTTTAAAGTTTTTAAGACTTTAGGTCATATTTACTGAGCAAAATCTACAAACAATTCTGTTCTAAATTTCAAGACTTAATACAGGCACAATACCTGACTGATGCAGTGACTCAATCAATCAGCCTCACTTAATCTTTAACAGAACTTGACAAAAATGTGTCAGTAAACAGCCCAACATAAGCTTACATATTACAACCATAACATTCATTTCAGTGAATGGCCGAAAACAATATTACACAGAAAACTTAGTAAAATGGTCAAACTGCAGTAAAAAAAGAAAAGAAATACTTTGTAATACAAAAAAGGAAAAGTAACATCATGGAAGGACTTGTTCGCTGTCTGAAGGAAGTGGCACTTGGGGGACAGCAACATGAGAGGATTTAATTGCAGGTTCCCAGGTGTAATCCCAGATTTTTCCGGTAGAAAAGAATAATAAAATCAGGATGTGGATTTTTTGTGCTGTAAGGTTCACAAATCTCTCTTTCTAAAATGTATACCTGACTTCAAAAGGAGGTAATGTAGCCAAAGTATTTTCTTTGCCTACATACACCCAAATGCCAGCTAGACCTTAGATCTTGTTTTGTCCCAAATATACAATATTATCTCGACTTATTAAGTGTTAAATGATAAACTGACTGCAGTCATTTTTACCACTACACAAACAATGAAAATCTCTCATAGTGCTTCAGTTTCTTAGAAAAGTCTAAAAATCAAAACAGAAAAAAGTGACAGTTTCATATTAAATTTCCAGCTTATATTAATTAAAAAAGGCACAGTGTTAAATAATAAGTGTTGAATCAGCTTTAAAAAGTCCAAATAATCCCCAAATCAGCATTCCGTTGCTGATAAAAGGCCTAATTAAGATATCTGGAGTTCTATCTGTATAATTCTATCTTTCTGTGCACATGCTGACTTTGTGTGAATTTGTTTCACCTAACAAGCCTGAAAATTGAATGTAAAGCTATTTTTGACTTCTTTCGCTGAGATAAAGCGTTTTTGGCTTCTGGCTTGCTGATCATTTGGAACATCAGCAGATAAACTAATTTCAGTTTAATACAGCCAGATCTAGTGCTGCTCAGCATTTCGGAGCTGTCCAACAACTAACAATGCTGAAAATTGAGTGTAAAGCTGCAAATTCACAGATAGTCCATTTTTGACTTCACTCGCTGAGATAAAGCGTTTTTGGCTTCTGGCTTGCAGATCATTTGGAACATAAGCAGATCAACTCATTTCAGTTTAATACAGCCAGATCTAGTGCTGCTCAGCATTTCGGAGCTGTCCAACANTGTTCACTACTTTTGGACTATAACATCTCATGGAGTGTATTTTATTGCTTGTTTTTCAGATTGGAGGAACAGGCTATATTTCAGGACCTTTTCATAGCCAAGGATGAAAACGTAGGAAAATTTATGGACTGTATACACAAATCAACCAAAAATGTAAGACTGCAGATTGTAAATGTATAATAACAGTAACCTTTTTAGCCTGTTATAACAGCTTGCCTGACTGAATTGTATGCATTCTAGATTTTGTGGTGGGCAGCCAGGGAGATCTCTCACAGATCTGGCAGCAAACTGGATGAGGAGGCTTGGAGCTAGCGGTGTGTAGACATGGAGTGCTGCTTAGTGCTCTTCGAGATAGTATGAGATATTTGCATAACCCTTGTTCTTTTTAACAAAGGCTGGCCAACAGACAATCACTTTTTTTCCATGGATTTAACATGTAAGTACTGGCCATATCTTGAAAACTAACAAAAAGCTGTCCTGAGCTCCAACACCTGCTTAAAATGAAGCAATTTATCTCAATTTCCCATGGCAAAGCCCATGAATGTAAGGTAAGGAACACTGACCAGGCATTGTATAACCTTGCTGGTACATACTGCATAAACATCTTTGACACAGTTGATGTTGTTTGTGCAGATACAGATGGACAAAGCTTGTGCCAAGGCTCATCGCAAGATCAGAAAGGGGAAAACACCTTAGCATTGGCTTTAGAAGATGTTGGTCACTTGAAGACTGATACAGACACAGAAGTTCTGTCTTTGGAAGAGATCCTGTCCGGTCTCTTCCAACATTGCCATGGCAACAATCACACAGTGGTAAGTAAACATACACTAATATGTTTTATACTGTCATCATACCTGACAGATAATGTGACTAGATACTCCAGAGGTTGACCTAAACTTACAAATTTAAACTTTTACTGAGTTGATTTGTCCTTTTCATAAATGCATTTCAGACTCTGTCAGTCTTCACACAAGAACAAGGGCAATCAATGACATCATGATGGTAAAGAGACTGGAAGAGGAAAAGAGGATCTTTGTTGATGGACCATCATTGGAAATCTCTGTCATCCTATGAAGACACTCTAAAGGAGTTTCCCACCTGTTATCGGGAGGTAAATTTAAAAGTAGGTTTTTAAGTAACGCATAATCATACCAAAAGTAAAAGAATATAAATTTTGGATTTTTATTTATGTTCAACTTTAAAGGTTTGTCCTGTGACCTAACTGACGAAGGTCCAAGAGGTCTCCAGAGCATCATCCTCAGAGAGCTGCAGCACCAACAGATGAAGCTGCAGGCAACAGAGTATTATCTACAGCAGGGGAGCCCAAAGTGGGTCCTGGAGGCCCTAGTGGCCCGGCATCCTGCATGTTTTAGTTCTCTCCCTGGTTTAACACACCTGCATCAAATGATGACTCTTTAGAGGCCTAAGAAGAACATTGACAAGCTGAAAAGGTTGTTACTACCACCAGGGAGAGAATAAAACATGCAGGATGCCGGGCCACTAGGACCGACTTTGGACACCCCGATCTACAGACTTTGTCAGGAGCAGAGAGTGTTTGTTACCTTTGACGACGACTTCAGTAGTGACTGATAATAGTCATATATAGTTTGCTCATAAGTCAATTTGTTCTTGTGCTTTCATGTTTCCAAATGGGCAGTGTTTTATCTTGTTGATTCTTTTTTTTAATAGTTAATTACTTTGTACTTTGTACTTTGTACTTTCTAAAAGGGCTTACTAGAGCTGTAATTACTTCCACAGTGTGTTTCTTTTTCACTTATGTTTCTGCACATCTAGTGTATTTTCTAGGTAATAATAAGAGAAATTGTAGTTACTACATTAAGCAGTCCCAGTGATTCTGTAGTAACTAACATAGTCAAGACATCTTTTTGCATCTTCTACTTTTATTTTCTTTTTTTATTAATATGTGCAGCTCTGACTTATTTCTTAATCCAAAGAATACACAAATGTGTACTGGTGGAACAATTTCTTATCCTTGGTCAATTGAATGCGGTTCAGCTTGTCTGTCAATGTCTTTATTAAAAAGAAATAAGTAAAATAAAGTTTCAGTACTTGTCAGAGTGATCTTTTAATGCGGTATTCAGGTATGATTTTGTTTAATGACGCATTTATACAAATCGAAAAGCCATGATTTTATAAACAAAACAGCATCTAATTTAGTGGATTCTTCAGGACATGTTCTGAATCCATCAGCTGATGACAAGTCAGTAATGAAGCATATTAAAATGTTGGATGAACAAGAAGTGGTTTCAAGAAATTGTCAGGAGAAATAAGTTGTTCAGCTTTTAGGTACTCTTTAAGGACATATGAAAATTAGTTATAATTGCCTACATACAGTGGGAGCCATGTCAGCTGCTGGTGTTGGTCCACTGTGTTTTATCAAGGGCAGGTCAATGCAGCAGCTATCAGGAGATTCTGGAGCACTTCATGCTTCCATCTGGTGAAAAGCTTTATGGAGATGAAGATTTCATTTTTCAGCACAACCTGGCACCTGCTCACAGTGCCAAAACCACTGGTATTACTGACCATGGTGTTACTGTGCTCAGTTGGCCTGCCAACTTTCCTGACCTGAACCCCAGAGAGAATCTGTGGGACATTGTGAAGAGAAAGTTGAGAGACGCAAGACCCAAAACTCTGGATGAGCTTCAAGCCGCTATCGAAGCATCCTGGGCCTCCATGCCGCATTGAAGGCTGCAAAAGGATTCCTGACCAAGGATTGAGTGCATAACTGAACACGATTATTTGAAGGTTGACTTTTTTGGTATTAAAACACATTTCTTTTATTGTTTGGATGAAATATGCTAATTGTTTGAGACAGGGATTTTGGGTTTTCATGAGCTGTATGCCAAAATCATCAGTATTAAAACAATAAAAGACCAGAAATATTTCAGTTGGTGTGCAATGAATCTAAAATATATGACAGTTTAATTTTTATCATTACATTATGGAAAATTATGAACTTTTTCACAATATGCTAATTTTTTGAGAAGGACCTGTAGACCTAGCGTTATTTATGCATGTCTAGGTGAAAAAGGAAGCCGACTAAGGTTTGGTAGAACTTGCTGTCGGTGTCATTTAGTTGAAATGCTTCAGATTTGGACCTAACTTCTTTTTGAAATAATCTTAACATTAACTTGGTATTTGGATGCATTTACAAACCAAAAGGGGTAGACCTCTATTTCAACTACAATTAGATGGACACAACTTAACTTACATTCTCTTTATGCCTTTTTTCTGCAAGCTGATGAAATGATGAAATGAACCACAGAGGCCTGAGGCCTCAGGCAGATCATTCTTTTTCCACTAGAACAGATTTAGTCGGGCTACAGAGCTCAATTCTAGAGAAAATGCATCTTTGAACCATTACTTTCATAAAGCATTTGAAGATTAAGCCATCTCTACCACTCAATTTGAGATTAGTGATGGAGTTAGGGTTAACCCTAACCCCAATCTAACCCTAGATTGTTTTTATACAGTTTAACATAGTGCTTTTCTCGTGGAGAAACATTATGTCAATCGAACATAATTTAGATTACTATACTAATGTAGTTTAAATTACAGTAGACTCAAACTGATTCAATATTAATTTACTAAACTGTAATGTTGAAGGACTTCAATCTGGGTTTCCTTTCATACACAAAATAAGCTGCAAACTTTAACTTAAATAATTAACCTTAGACAGGTAAACATGCTATTCAAAATACTTCTCCATAAAACTTTTTTTATGTGTAAATACTGATCACACTGAATAAAACACATAACAAATAGCTTCACACAGTTCTACAAGTGTTTAGGAAACGAATCTGTTACACAGTTTAACCTTGCGTCATGCCTTAAAGACAACACACAGGGCAAACTTGACCAGCCTACAATGACGACCAGCTTGTCAGGCAAAAAGTCTTTATAAATCCCATCATGACTCTTTCTGTATCAAACGAACAGTTTCACTACATTTTGAAGTAACATTTCTGAGTGTATCGTTGACCTTGATCTTATTTGGCTACAGACAAATACGGTTGTCATCTTATTGAAAACCTTATTACCCCCCACCTCCCACAACGTGCTGATAGTGTTCCTTTCTTCTCTTAATCAGTCTGCCGTACGATGGCTGCGTTCCATTTCAGATTCCCGCCGATCAGCCGTACAATAATTTCTAGAACCAACTATGCGGAGCTGGGATGCTTATAAAAATATTTTGTGTGGTTTATGATAATACATTATGGAAGATCAAGTCTGAAACATCACCTTATATATNGAAGGACTTGTTCGCTGTCTGAAGGAAGTGGCACTTGGTGGACAGCAACATGAGAGGATTTACTTGCAGGTTCCCAGGTGTCATCCCAGATTTTTCCGCTAGAAAAGAACAATAATAAAATCAGGATGTGGATTTTTTGTGCTGTAAGGTTCACAAATAACTGACTTTAAAAGGAGGTAATGTAGCCAAAATATTTTCTATGCCTACATCCACCCAAATGCCAGCTAGTACTTACATCCTGTTTTGTCCTAAATACACAATATTATCTTGACTTATTAAGTGTTAAATGATAAACTGACTCCAGTCATTCTTACCACTACACAAACAATGAAAATCTCTTGTAGTGCTTTAGTTTCTTAGAAAAGTCTAAAAATCAAAACAGAAAAAAAGTGACAGTTTCAGATTAAATGTGTGGCTTATATTAATTATAAAAGGCACAGTGTTAAATAATAAGTGTTGAATCACCTTTAAAAAGTCCAAACATCAAAATCAGCATTCCTTTGCTGATAAACGGCCTAATTACGATATTTGGAGTTCTATCTCTATATTTCTATGTTTCTGTGCACATGCTGACTTTGTGTGAATTTGTTTCACCTAAAGATGTTGTGACTTATGTGGTATAAGTATTACTGATTCCTGTTGTAATGCCCGTTTTTGTCCTCATAAAAAATAAAGACAAATACAAAGAAAGGAGTCTGGTAGGTCAGTAATTAAAGCCACAAAGTTTATAAGTAAACAACTGTGCTTATTTTTTGCAGACCACTGCCTCCCTTATCACCCCTCCCCCCATCTACTCATCTCCACACGTGGCAATGTCTCTCAGTGTACCTTGGCATGTTTGACTGGGGTGGGGATGTACTGTCACAGGGTGGATTAGTTAAACTTTTAGACTTACCGCATTAGTTCTACGCCCAGGGATTGATTTTGGGTACTACATTTCCACCAACCTAAATAACAAGAAAAGGACAAAAACAATTTTAAAAACAAAATAAGAAATTAAGTCAAAGCGTGTACACTTGAAAACTGAAAACTAGTGTGGTGACTGTCATATTTTATAATCCTTCTAAACTTTACTCTTCTTTACATGGATTTACACATTTTCTCAAATTAGTTTAACATTGATTTTAACCACTTTACAATGGCCACATAAATGGAAACTAAGCCCAAAACAAGTTGTCTTTGCTTATAAACGGTCTCTATAGGTTTTCTGTTTCTGTGAGAATTTTGACATTTTAGGGCTGGACTCCTTAAGTCACGAGTTCAGTTTTCTTCTGGGTTCGATTCTCGGCCGGAGGTCTTTCTGCATGGAGTTTGCATGTTCTCCCTCTGGTGGGTTCTTTCCGGGTTCTCCGGCTTCCTCCCACAGTCCAGAAACAAGACAGCCAGGTTAATTGGTTTCTCTAAATTCTCCCTAGGTGTGAGTGTGTGTGTGTGTGCATGGTTGGGTGTTCTGTCTGTTTCTGTGTTGGCCTGCGACAGACTGGCAACCTGTCCAGGGTGTACCCAAGCAACCTTCCCGACCACACTAGGGACAAGGGTGTAAGAAAATGGATGAATGTAAAGAAAACAAAACTTACACCACCCTGACTTAAGGAAGTGGCATGGTCAGCAGGTGACATGAATGCAGATGTGGCCGATCTATGGGGGCAGACAGATGACGGAGTGGGAGGAGAGGCAGCTGGAGAAGTGTTTCTGGGTCTTTTCTTCTTCTGAAAAGACTGAGAGGATGGGACAACAGGATGAGAAAGAGGAACAAGATCAGCCACTATTACAGTCTCTTCCTGGTTCTCTGGTATCATCATTGGATGCTCCCCAGTAAGCATCCCAGGCTGCTCCTGACCTATGTTCTCTGTCTGTTCAAAGATCAGGTTCTCAGCTCTTTACTTCTCTTCATCTGGCTTGCAACAGCAATAAATAACAGAATTCATATTTAATTCAAGTAAATGACCTAGCTGCAATCAGTGTATTCAGACAGGACTCAGAACTTTAAAGATCATCACAGCCTAGGGACACTGATGTTTTTAGCAACCCTCCAATATTACAAAGTGGCAACAACAAGCATGACTATAAACATTATTATGTGACTCTATCATGGCTAATTAAACGTATTAAGCACAGGTACAGTGTACAGGTACAATTAGCCTCCAAGAGGCTAATTTAGCTAGCTTCCACCGTATATTTTCCGGCAGAAAAAATGTTCCGGCAGAAAAAATGTTACAAACGTGTCTTCAACCATTCGTATCACAGTCCTACTACCATCAGTAATTTTATAACGTAACACTTTGGAGTTATTTTTGGTT